GGAGGCTGCCATGATTGGCAGGGCTGTAACATGGGTCGGCTAGTTTCTTGCTAAAAAGCGTTTCCTGTGTTATGACTAAAATTTGTCTTGGAAAGCCAGCGGTATGTGCAAGTCTTGGGTTTAGAAGCTGTTTGCTTGAGTTAGTGATATGTAAATGTAGGTTGTATTTTTGGGCATACTTGACAGTCAAGGTTTTGGTCAGGTGATTGCACCGGCTTGATGAGGCTTTTCAAACTGCTTGAGCAGTTTCCATCAGATGTACGACCCTAGTACAAAATTGGTGATTAAAATTGCCTGTGGTATTGTGACCCCTTTAATCTGATTGAAGAACAAAATTATAACCTGAATAGTACTGCCACATTTAAACATGGGTTGTCTATACTAGAGATGTGTAGTAGAGAAGATGTGAAGATAGTTTGTTCCTGCATTGAGGCTTTTATCTTTTATCTCTTTGAATGCGTTTGTTTTGCTGAGTAGAAAAAAAAAACAAACCCACAGATCTATGGCAGTATGATCGTGTAAAAAGAGGTACAATTCTGTCTCTACAACTTTTCTACCAAATAGTGGAAGAAAGGTCTCACGGGAAACAAAGTTTTATTAAAATGCAAGTATCTTTGGTAATGAGGGAGTACTAGATGTAGAAAGAAATAGTTGGATGTGCTTCTTTCCTATATGTTCTTTAGCAAGGAGGAAGAATTTCAGTTGTATTTCATGACCCAATAAAGATTCTATTTCTTTTGTGTGCTATAAATACTGTAAATAAAGTCTGAAACTCAGTCACAGAGTTTGTACTTGAAAAGTTTATCTTTTATAAATGTTGAATGACTGTTGGTCATCCAAGCAATTCAAATGCCAGTTAAGCAAAGCTGCTGCTGTCCTTCCGGGCTGACTGTTTCAGCGACTTCTTATAAGAACTTGACTAAGAAAACACCCAAACAAGCCCCCATAGAGCTTCTTGTTTTTCTTCCTGACAGTTCTTCCCATTATGTAGTGCTGTTACTCTGGCAGATAGTGAAGTTTGAAGAACAGTTTATTGCCGGTTGCACAAAAGATGCAATGGTTTGCTTCTTTACCTTCATATAAACAAGTAGGGTGTGATGTCTAGGCTGCAATGTGCTCTGTTTTACTGCTTGATCTTTGGCCATCCTGTCCTGAGAATGGAAGCTGCTCTGAGCACCTCCATTAGAGAGATGATAGGAGACATGCGTGAAGTTGCCACAGAAAGTTCTCTTTGGCATTTGAAACAACGTAACTTGGCTGGGAAGGTCAGTCTTTGTTGAAATTAATTAGACTCTCTCCTCCGTCTTTGTAGAGGAATGGCTCCTTGTTGGTACCAAACAAGGGCATCTTCTGCTTTACAGGATCAAGAAAGACATAGGTAAGTTGATTTTAAGAACGGCACAAGAAGTTGGTTACATTATTTTTATTTCTGGCACTTTAAGAGGTTGTAGTGATGCTAACACATGTACGTTTCATTGCTGATTTTTTTCCTACATAGAGTTTAATGAATATTTGGGGGGGATCTTTGATGAAAGTGTACATACCATTTATCAGATGTGTAAGAAAGATATCAAGTATCAGTCTTTTTTCTGTTTTCAAGTGTGTTTTATATTAGGTCTCCAGGTGTTTGAATTTATAGTAAGTTAGTGTAATTTTTGTGAATACAGTGCACAAACTTGCGCAGAAGCAGTGCAGTGTGCTAGTTGCCAGAGGTTTGATGTTTGTCTTCTGTTAATGAAGGACCGAATTAGTGAAAGAACAACTTTATTCAGTGGGTGCATGAGTATCAAGGGATGGAGGAGAGGGATCCCTCCTAACCAGTTCTGTCCTGTATTTATTCTTCTCCCTGCCTCTTTGACAGTCATAAGTGTTCACAGTCTATTCTAGAGATGCCACAAATAGAACTGTTCTATTTTTGGTTTAGTTAAGATTGATTTTCACTAAACAGGTTTGTATTTCGCCTTATCTGCTATTATATAGAAACTGATGTTACTGAACACAGTAATGTCATGTAGTGTGGGACAGGAAAGAGAAAACAAAACGTCTATTTCCAAGTTCAGCTCTTGGAAGGATGTTGATTTGTAGCTACTTGGATTCTAGAGGCTGATTGCAGCTTGCTTTTTTCTGAAGCTTGTAGGCCATCTATTCCAATCAGAACATGCTAGTCTTAAGTTGCTAGTGTCTTATCTCACGTGGTAAATTTCTCCCCCTTTTTTGCATCAGGGCCAGGAGAGGTTATGTCATCAGAAAGTGTCTGTAAGTCTTTATCCCCAAAACTCCTTTTAAACCCTCGTGGTGTAGTGTTTATTCCTATTGTCTGCTTTGCAGTGATGTGCTCCCTAGCAATTTAAATTGCTGATATTTGATTTGTGTGGATAAAGTCTATATGGGTATCTTTATCTCTGGGTTTCAAAATACTTAATATAATTCTTGTAATCCAAAATTCCATCAAGGCAAAAATGTAACTGTTGCTGAGGCCCTCGGATGGGTACAAGAAGTGTAATTTACATTTTCACCTGACAATGTAGAAGACCTTCTGATGCATTTAGCTATTAAGTAAAAGATAGCACAGATATGTTAGAAGAGTCATTCTTCTAGTGTTAAGTGGCCAAGTTTGCTTTTGTAAGTCTTTGTAATCTATTTAATGTAAGATCTATTCATTCATAAATTTAAGGGCAACTTCAGTTTACATACTCTCTTAAATCTTTCTGGTAGGTTGCAATAGGTTTGAAGTGACACTAGAGAAATCCAACAAGAACTTCTCAAAAAAGATTCAGCAGGTAGGAAATACCATCTTCTTGACATGGGGACAGTTTTCCAGTGTTTTCAGCCAAGAAATGAAATATCAAATGTAATTCTGGAATCTCTGCTAAGTTTAATAAAAATTTTCCCCCAAACTATAGATTATTCTAGAGGCAGCACAGCCTGGTGTTTTTGCCCACTCTTCCCATAACAGGAATAAGCTTGGTTTGGTTGCTAAAGCAGAAAGTAAAGAATCGGAACATACAGGTTTATTTTTGGCTTTTATGGACGGGCTGTTGTTTGCAGTAAATCTTCAGCTGCTCTGACTGAGAATATTTGTACAAATGGTGGTAATACACCAACAGACTTTAATATATGATTTGACTCTCAGATAAAATGCTGTGGGAATGTCAATGTAATTCCTCTTATTTGGAGTTTAGTTCTAAAGTAACTGATTACTGTTTCATGTTTTTGGAGAACTTCCGCTCATTGATTATATTGATAGTCAGGAAAGCCTGTACCTCAAAGATTATGCAGCCTCTTTCAGCAACACTTTGCATATCCTTTACAAGTATTTCTGCATTAGTAACATACCACTTATTATAGCACTTTTTTTACTGGCTTAGGTTCCAAGCTCTATGTGCTAGCTTGTAAAAACTGAGTCTAAGTGAAAGGGGTTGCAGTAGCTGGAGGAAGGCTGTGCTTAGATGCCTGCCTTTCTGTTTCCATTACTTTGAGAGTAACCAAGATGCTTTTTCTTACACTATAATCAAGCCTTGTCCAGAGGGTTAATTTATGACTGGAGTCACTAATAGTATTCTTTCTTTCAGATTCATGTTGTTTCTCAGTTTAAGATTCTGGTCAGTCTATTAGGTAAGTGAAGTAAATGTTTTAATATTTAATGAGCTCTTCTCATGCAGTTACTTGGCTGAATGTGGCACCCTTTCCACACACCTGCGTACTAGTCTAGTTTTTGAAAACTCATTGTGTAGGATTTAGGCTTTTTCACTTTGCAGAGGAAGCATCATGCAGCATAGATTGAGAAGCAGCTTTGCTTGTTGTAAGCCAGCTTGGAGAACAAACTACTAACGTGAAGTTTTGTGATTAAAAATGAAAAAATACATACATGTACTAAAGTGTGTGTGTGTATATATATGGAAAGAGTTTGACTGTATTGGCATGTGTATATACACATATACATGTGTGCACCGTATGATAGGGGCTAAAACTTCTGTCCAAATTTGTTTGATGTATGAAACTTACTGTTGATGTGTTACACCAAATTCAGTTTATATGCAGATGGTGATCTTTTACCATCTTGTGGAAGATCTAGGTTTGCTTGTCTCTAGCTATATTTGTTTAACCTTATGATCTTCCTATGTCTTTTTTTGCTTATGTTGCTACTCCCTTCTTTATGATCTCCAAGTCCTGGCTCTT